CGAGCAAAGGCATCGACATACAACCTCAGAAAGGTCTCACATCCTTGGTGGATTCTCTCGGCCTCTTCCACACAGGTTAACGTCGTCGAGCAAAGGCTCCGACATACAACCTCAGAAAGGTCTCATATTCTTGGTGGATTCTCTCGACCTCTTCCATAGAGGTTAACGTCGTCGAGAAAAAGCTCTGACATACAACCTTGGATAGGTCTTACATCCTTGATTAACGTCGCCAGAATAACGTCAAGGGACTTCCATTTAACTTCTTCACAAAGTTAAATTTTTACCCGATGTTGAATTTCCTCCTTTTGCTGAATTTTTGCCTTGCAGGACTTTCGTCGGAATTCTGCTGATCAACGAACTTTCGTCGGTCTTCTACCCGATAGTACTTCTACCCGACGTCGGACTTCACCTCGTCGTCGGACTTCTCCTCGTCGTCGGACTTCTGCTCGTCGACGTACTTTCATCGGTCTTCTACCCGACGTTGAACTTCTATCCAACGCCGGGCTTCTACCCGACGTCGGACTTCTGCTCGTCAGCGGACTCCTGCTCGTCGTCAGACTGCTGCTCGTCGACGAATTTTTGTCGGTCTTCTACCCGACGTCGGACTTTTGCTCGTCAGCGGACTCCTACTCGTCGTCGGACTTCTGCTCGTCGATGAACTTTCGTAGGTCTTCTACCTGACGTTGAACTCTACCGGACGTCGGAATCCTACTCGTCGTTGGACTTCTGCTCGTCGACGAACTTTCGTCGGTCTTCTATCCGACGTTGAACTTCTACCGGACGTCGGAATCCTACTCGTCGTCGGACTTCTGTTCGTCGACGAACTTTCGTCGGTCTTCTATCCGACGTTGAACTTCTACCGGACGTCGGACTCCTACTCGTCGTCAGACTTCTGCTCGTCGACGAACTTTCGTCAGTCTTCTACCCGACATTGAACTTCATTATGATTAAAACAAATAAAATAGTAAGAAAGAGATGCCTAAATGAAGCTTTAGAAAAAAAGGATGTTATGATATCCTTATGCATTAATTTTAATAGAGGTGAGCCTTGAAATCATTAGATTTGGTTTTGATATTACTGTTGTATATTAAGAATTAATTATGCACTTAATATAAGTAAATCTGATAATTCTGAAACCTATTATGAGAAAAATTTGTGTTAGGAAATACTAAGCAAATTTTCCTGTGGATGACTTTCGTGATTTTTGATTTATTAGAAAAATTTAAAATAATGAAAGTATTTTGAGTGAAATATATGATGAAATAGTAAAATATTAAGATATATTTATATAATTAGTGGAAATATGTCAAGGAAATTTTGACATGCTAATTTTTTAATGTCATCCTAATGAAAATTACTTGATTTTTTTTGGGATATTATATATGTATAACATAGTTAACTAAAGTCATGCGTCGTTTACTCTGATGAACTAGGCTTCTTTGAGGTAGCTGCTGTTATTTATAAGAAAGGATTTATAATTGTTGAAGTGAAAATAGATTTTGTGAAAATTGTAGTAGGTATTATAGATTTTTTTAGTTCCTTATTTGAAAATTAGTAAGAGCATTTTTACTGTGATTACACTAGTAAATCTATTTGTTATAAATTTCTTCTTAACAAAAGTTTTTTTAAAAAAATAAGAAAGTTAATTGTACCCAAATAATAGATTTGTGATAGTCATTTAGAAAGCAAAGAAGTGAAAAGTTATCTTTTTTTTTTTTTCAACAAACTCAAATTTTTATATTGATAATAAAAAGAGATACACCAAATAAAGAACTACTCACAAAAAGAGAAAGGCCCAAAAAGAAACTACAAACTCCAACACAGATAATAAAAAAACAAGGAAAGTAAATCCAAACAAGAGAGCTCAGCAGATAGCCGGGACTCCCAGCAGCTCAACTCCGTGCAAGGACCATCCAGAAGAGTGAAAAACACCGACGGTTGCCGCAAGACAGCCGATGAGGCGAGGAGTCCCAGCCACATCATCGCTCCGCAAACTCCAATCCAAGCGCCAAGCAAACCGAACCACCACAAAAATTGTTCCAAATAGAAAAAGAAATTATCTTCTTCTACCACCTCTATTCCAGAATTTGCCCCGAGAAGCAGCTTTAAGCGTTTTTCCACGAACCAATTTAAACTCCTCGTCAGGATCTGAATGAGATTCAGAATCAGAATCGAATTCAGACGAATAATTCAACCAATCAGCATTGGGTTTAATGTTTTCACCCGATAGTTTAACAGGGACAGTAACCAGACATTGTGAATTAATCACTAATTCCTGCTTATCCGAAACAACTCCCTGACCATCTAACTTAGCGTCCACATTCAAAACATATTTCTGCAATCGATCAGAGTCCTCCACACCAACAACCACATCACCTCCACAGATTACAGGAACATGCGTAGGAAAAGTAGAATTTGAAACCACCAATTCATTACCATCCGGCACCACCACAACATGCGGCAAAGCCTCCACCACATCCGAATGATCAATACCAACAACCCCACACCCCGGAATAAAAGGTACCGCAATAGAAGACAAAATAGTTTCAGCAGCCACTAAATTGACAGCCACCACCTTATTTACATCAACATCTAAACCCGCGTTAATCTCACTAGATATATCCAAATTCACTTCACCAGGGTCAATCGCCTCCGGCATCCCGAGCTGGGCATCCACAATTTTCATATTTTTAACAGAAGGATGCAATATAGGACATAGAACCTTAGAGTGACCTAAAGAACTACAATACCCACAGAAATGAGGAAACTCATCAAAAATCACATTCTGAACATAACCCGATTCAGCTGAACCAACCCAAACCTTATCAGCAAATTTTTTCGTAACATCCAACTCGACAAGGATACGCGCCACAGACGAACGGGAACCGGACGCCGTGGCCATATCAGACTTAAGAGGGCGACCAAAAATCGAACCTAAGTCGAACAAGATTCTAGGAGAGAAAAGATGCGGCCTGAGAAGAGGGAAGGAAATCCAGATAGGCACAATGGGAGAATCAACCTCCACATCCAAATTGGGTGACCATTTTGCCACTTTCATATAGCAGTTTTGAACAAAATAGGATCTATGAGCAAAAATCCGACAATAATCAAAATCATTCACCAATTTAATCAAAATATTCCTTTGGTTAAGAATAGTAACCGAAAAATCCCCTATCAGTTTTAAATTGAAACAGAACTTTCGAATCGCATCAACAGATGGATGTCTACCCGGAAAACGGCCAACCAAAGCAAAATCAAAAGGAGCAGCAAGCGAACACAACTCATCCTCAGAAATTAATAAAGCCGGTAAGCCACGATGCGAAGATACGTTAAGCTCAGGGAAAGAAGAAGGAGAACCAGATAAAACATCTTTAAAAGATAAAGGCGAGGAAGCCCCACATAAAAAAACAGGATCGTGAAGACGAACCGAAGCCATCGAGGAGACGGGAAAAATGACCCACAAACGAGGAGAGAAAGCTCACACAACTCGTCGGAGAAGACAAGGCGGCGGAACCTAGCTGAGAAAAAACCCTAGCGGAGCGAAAAAAAACATCGCGCTTTTTTTTACAACACATCAATTGTTTCTAAGTGAAAAGTTATCTTAAATATATGTTTAGGTTTCATTTGGGACGGCTTTCTTATTGCTTTATAAAACAACTTTTTAGCACAAAAATTTTTAATTCAAAAAATTTTTATACTAAAAATTTACTTTTAAAAAACATAAAGAAAATTATCCCAAATAAAAAATTAGTATTTATTTGGGGTGACCATGATTTGTAGTGAAAGTAGAGTACTTGAAAGTTGTTATAGGTGGCAGAGATTTTTTTTTTCTTTCTTTTTGAAAACATTAGACCAACTATTATTTTATAACTACCACAGTAGCACACTTCGGGCTCATTTAAAGGATAAATTATTCTGTGCGGAATACAGATATAGAGCTGTGTTCGGATGCCAATAAAATCATTACACGTGGCGTGCTTACGTGAAAAGTTAGGATATTCATTTAACTTCTTACCTGACCCATTTGTCTTTTCGGACTTACTACAGACGAAGAGAAATCCGCAACAAATAAGCAGTAAATAAATAGAAAATGCGCAACATATATACTCAATAAATACGCAACAAATACGCAATAAAATACTCAATCAATACGCACATTTTACGCGACGAATACGCAATAAATACTCAATCAATACGCAGGTCAAATAAATAACGCTGACTTTAACTTTCCACGTAAGCATCCGAACACAACTTTATGTATTCCGCACAAAATAATTTCTCCATTTGAAGATAGTAATTTTTTATAAATGTGATTATAAAATTATTATTATTATTATTTAAATTTTAAAGCTATAGAGAGATGACTTTTTTATTATTTCTTTAAGTAAAGTTTCAGTTCAAAAATTAAAATTTTGACACTAAAAAACTACTTAAAGTAAGTGACACTACCAACATCATTTAATTTTTTGATTTATTATATTAACTACATCACAGTAATAACTGTGGCAGATATAACTTTTTTTTTTTTATGAAATGAATTCAGTTTTGGCAGATATAACTTAGCACTCTTTGTTTTTACTACATTTAACATTGAAATGAAATGATGCAGCGGAGATATTCAGTGTGATGATGTGAGGAACTATATAATCATGCCGAAATTATAAAGAACATATAAAGCAATTAAAGTTTTATTTGAGCCGGCTTTCTTATTATTTAAAATAACTTTTTTAATAAAAAATCAATTTTTATATTAGAAAATTATATTGAGAATCAATACAAAAACCATCACTAATGAAGCCTAAATTGATCATTTTAATCTTAAGTTTAGCGCATATTATAGACAGAGACTTATTCCAGAAATAAAGCTGCACTACAATCCGAACTTCTTTCAAAACACATGCAGAATTTGTGCAAAAAAAAAAAATTTTTTTGAAACAGGCCAATAAAAGAAGTTAGGAATATGCCAAATGGTTCCAACCCAAAAGTAGAAAATAAGGTACGAAAGTGCCAAACCCTTACTTGAGATTGGCTACGATTGTTCGACTTGTAACTCCTCACATACTGAGAGGAGAGGATGCCAGCGTTCACGTCTCACGATTCACAGCTTCAAGCCTTCGATGGAGAATGATAAGAAAACTACTCCTGGCTCCATTTTTGCAGCCACAATTAATTGCAGTAATTTGAAGAATTATTATGATAAAATTATTAAGATTAATACTTTTTCTTATTGTTTAAAGCATATTTTTACCATTAAAATCCTTAAAAAAAAACAAAAAAAGACAGCTAAACGGGCCATCAGCACTCGACCCACGCATAAACATAAGCTGGCATCCATAATGCATCAAATCATCCCATTAATACACAGAAAACTAAAAGCAAATGCATCACTATTCTTTAGCTGCTTCCAAATTCCCAAACCAGTTTATAACATAGAAAGAAACTGAGAAGTATAGCCTTCTCCCATGTGAAGAAAAAAGAACAAGTATTTTGGTCCTTTAGTAATGTAGAAAGTATAAGAACGCATATATATATATATATATATATATATATATATATAGGAAGGGGGTGCTTGCATATGTGTATTCTAAAATTTGTATATGACTTTCAAGTAGATTTTATATTCATGAGCAGCTCGTGCTCAACTCCGTAAGTTAACAAACCAAATAAAAACAACAACAAAAATTGTCTCATTAGCTTAACAATTAAAGATAAATAACACTTGAGTCTTTCAAGTTAGGCTTATTTAAACTGCTACCTCCAAAAATTTTGTTATTTATTTATAACCAGGAGGCTGCTTGTAAGCATTATAATAATCTAACTTCTAACTCGATTAGTTGCTAGCTAACTTACTTGTACCAGAAGAAGATGGTTCAGCTCTAGATGTGGAAGTTTCCTGCGAACAAAGTTGCCTCAACTTGTCCTCAACAAGATATTCAGCTCGAGAGGCCTCCATGACCATGCGCTCTATTTCTTTCTCTGTTAGCTCCAAGTCCGAGTAGAAACGTCCCTCAGCAAGAAGTGCCTGTTCACGGAGGCATTATCAGCGTTAGATAATTCCATGTGTGACCAAGGTCCCACACCATCTGTTATAATTGATTATATTTACAAGGATCCCTTGATTAAATGATAATCGAATACGATGAAAAGGATTTCATTAAATTTTGTTCCCACAAGTTTTAAGTTTAAACAGATCTCTTCTTTTCAAGCTAGAAATAATTAGTACAATCTTCTACAAAAAAATTTGTTTTGACTTTTGACAAATGACTGAACCTATTTTTGCCCAAATTATCTATTTTAAAATGTAAAACCATCCATCATCTTTTATAAGCATGAACTGGATAGCAAAATCTATAAATTTTATAATTTTTTTAGAATTTACCAACTCATAAGTGAGGAGCAAATACAGGGAACAAGGAATTTATGAGTGAGCAAGAAGGCTCACGCAACTAGCATCATGCTTCAGTTGTTAAATAAAATATAACATCTATGCTTCACATACTTAAAGCATTGCTATGTCAAAATTGGTATGGTATTAGTCTAAAAAAAAAAGATTAAAAAAAATTAACAGGCAGAAGAAGCTATGAACACTTACATTGTCAATCTGCTGGTCTTGCTGGGCCTTGATAGCAGCCTTCACCTGGTCCTTATCAACATTTGCCTAAAGAACAACAAATGTAATACAAACATTTGCCGAGTACCCACGTAAGGAAAAGAAAAAAGAAAGCTGAAGCAAATTTCAATAAGTACTTTATAATGCATTTATTTTTCTGATAAGATCCATGCATAAATTATGAATAATACTGATGATTAGTAAAGAAAGTTATTCTCGTGCTGGGTGAAAGTTGTCTCTTCTTTGTAGCATAACACACACAAGATCAAGAAGAACGAGGAATCGAGATGAGCAGATAATTTTGCACTGGCTTGGCTCAAATTTCATGGAACAACAAATTCACATAACTTCAAAAATTTTACACAAAAAATTCTATTCAAGGGCTCACCTCCCGAAGACAGCTAAATCCAAGGCCAGCCCCAATTGTCAATCTGCGGGGATCAACAAGTGAATTGTAATGATTTCCACGGTGGTAACTTAACCTAATTGGTGGTGTGTCTGTCCCATAGCTTCCGTGGAAGATGTTGATAGGTTCTGAAGACAGAAAAGGGAATTAAAAAAGTCACAAAATTAACACCTCATTATCAGCAACAAATGGCTATTCTACCTTACAAAGGTAATATTACAAATTAACAGGATAAAGAAATACAAATATCACCTGTACTGTAGCAATAAATGTGAATAGGACGATTGTACATCTCTGAGAAGGCTTGGATTTCCAAGTTATTTCCATAAACCTGAAAATATGGAATGATAAAATAGATTTAGGTACTCCAATAAAGCATCATCTGACTAGGTTAGGTGAAGTTAAAATCAAAGCAGGCTGCCAACATAGCGATTAGAAAAAGAATGACTTATATGCAACTTGGCTGCTGTTTACGTTGATGGATTAATTTCCTAATCTCAAGACATACGGATATTAGAATATCATAGGTGCAAGCCTGCACTTGCCAGAAATAGAAATAGTGTTGAGATAAACCATTTGATGATCTGAGGAGTGTTTTTACTTTGTTGATTTTGTTGAATTAACTTTATTATTATTTTATTTTATTATTGCATTAGTTGAGTGAAAACAAGCATCTGACGATGATTAGAACAACATCTGTGGACGATTCTTTAAGAAAAATGAACTGTGTTCTTTGTTTGGTTCGGTTCATTGTGTTGATTTAGATTGGGTTCAGACACTGGTTCACTAATGGGTTCTCTTATCGATTGCTACTGTTTGTTCACTCTTCTTCAGCCACCAGTTCTCTGTTAGGTTGCTAAATGGGCATTAATGTTATTTCCTGGGATGATTCAAGGGGTTTTTATGTGATTAGTGAGCTGAGTCATCCCAAGCTTCAATTCTGCTAAATGCTGTTGGGTTTTTTTTATTGATGGACTTTTAATTGAATTCTTGTTGTGCTGTCTACTCCACTATTTAGGCTCCTATATATGACAGGATCAACAGCTATTTCCACGCATGGAGATTAATAATTATGTTTGCTTGCAGTTCACTACTACGGGATTGTAGCCATGCGTTTCGGCTCCCTGCGGCAGAGTGGTTACGGGATTTCATGCTACCGCATGGTATCATCCGCATAAAGGAAGCGAACTGCAGCTGGGAAGCTATCAATGAGAGTTCAGATACTCAAACCCATCTTTATACTGTAAATGGAGCGGACTTGAAATTATAAATAGGGAATAATTAACTCATGTAAAAACAGTTTTCAATGAGAATTTCTCTGATTCTTGCGCTTCCCCTTTGTGCGGTGCTTGAGTGTCGGTTGTAGATCTTTCTAGCATGGTGATAGCAGTTTTCCCATAAAAGCAAATCTCTTTCAAGATGTGGGAGGTATGGATTTCTAATTTTGGTGAATTCTTTCTTTTTTTTCCTACGATATTAGTAATTAGTTAACGAATATGATTGGAATTAGTCAAAACTTATCCGATCTGGATTTTCTGATTATAGCGTGCTTTCCAATCTATTTCTAATTTTTCTTCGACCTAATCATTCAGAAAAACAAAGGGTTGGGATTTTCTAATACAACAAATATGATGCATATCATATGTTCATGCAAATAAAATGAGGATTCATAATTACTATGCACTAAATAAACCAACAACTCACTTTCTTTTAATATAAACAAGCAACGGTAATATTTAAGTTGAATTGATTGTAAAAAGATCACAAAATTTTGATAATTTCAAAAAATTTGGAAAAAAAACAAACTCAGCAAGCAAAACAAATTAATCTTCAGAAAAATACAATTTGGACATCTTAATTTTTGACCAAATCAAGAGACTAAACTAGTCAACAATAAATAAGCGAGAAAATTATCAAAAAGGTCCCTCAACTCTTTGTGAGGGATCAACTCCTACAAACGGGACTATTTTGGTCCTGCCATCAATTTTAAATGTAAAAGTGAGATGGGCAGGACAGTATTATCGGAACAAGTAAAGAAGAAGCGCACGAATGATAGAAAGAAGGCTACCTTCGCAACGAGAAAGCTCCCATTGTCGTCGTTACTTCCGATCGCAGTCAATTTGGCCAAAGAAGCGCGAGAACGGAAGAAAGATGGCTACCTTCGCAACGAGAAAGCTCCCATTGTCGTCGTTACTTCCAATCGCAATCGATTTGGCCGAAGAAGCGTGTGAACGTAAGAAAGAAAGCTACCTTCGCAACGAGCAAGCTACATTCGTCGCCGTTACTTTCGATCGCAGTCGATTTGGCCGAAGAAGCACACGAACGGAAGAAAGATGGCTAACTTCGCAACAAGCAAGCTCCTGTTGTCATCGTTTCTTCCGGTCAACAGACTAACGACGAAATGTGATTGTGGATCCGACAGGAAGGAACATCGTCGAGGAGGTGAATAAGTTATTTAGCTAGTCATTCAAAACTCTACCCGTTATGCGAAGGAGGCGAAGTCGAAAAGCAAGGAATAGTGGAGAAGGGGTAAAGAAATTATGTATAATTATTAAAACTACAAGTATGTATAATCTTTTTATTAAAGAAATGTTTAATTAATTTTTTTACAAAAATTATAATCAATAAAAATTTATATTTATTAATTATTTTAATTAAAAAAATAAAATTATCTTCATATTCAACACCATCAACTCTACCATTAGATGGAAAGACTAAAAAAGTCCTATTTGGAGTTGAGGGATCAACTATTTTGGTCCCTCAAAATAGTAGGGGATTATTTGGGTCCCTCACAAAGAGTTGAGGGACCATTTTGGTTCTTTTCTCATAAATTAAGTAGAAAAATTACAAAGAACGAAATACCGAAGAAAATAAAAAAGGCCTCACACAAATATGAGGAAGATTACAATCTCTCAAAATAAAGTAATCATAACTATATCATGCTCGAAAGAATCACACGTACAACTTAAATGCATGATTAAAAAGTTAAAGAAATTATATAAAAGTCATTGCACGCCTCAAAACAATTTTTATGAATTCCTCATAACCTAAGTTAATAAATAAGACTGCCACCAAATCAATCTCAATTTAAATCCAATTTTTCCAAAGTTTTTTCGAATTCCCATAACAACTAAACCAACTTCATTGATCACATCAAAAACGCAAAGCCATAGAGCATGTGAAGTGTAACTTGTAGCTACAATGATAAGGCCCAACAGTCGGGACAAGATAAAACTTAGCAAAACCATAACTCCCACAAAAACCCTAAAGTTCCATTTCACGTGAAATTGCAATGCATAATCTGCTTCTTCATTTTTTAAATATGTCAAACTGAACCTCAACAATTTAATAATTAGCTACTACACAGCATAAGTTTAAAAAAAAAAAAAATTAAGCTCCAATAACTCGAATGGTTTATACCAAATCCAACAGCAATCCACCATAACATCTTAGCCTTATGTAACCTTCTCAACATTATGTGAGAATTAATATTAAATCAAGATTAAAATCACGCCAACCAAATAATTTAACCTGAAACTAGAAAATACCTTCTTCAGCCATGACAACCCTTTTCAATCATCATCACTTGCATGAATTCAGATAGAAATATAAGTGAAATGAATTAAATGAAAAGAAACTCACTATTGCAAAAAAAAAATCATAAGATTCACAAAAATTAAAGCTGGTGTGATTCTTCTATGAGAATAAATGAGAAGCAATCAAATTTGTCATGCTTAGACAAATTTGAGCCTGATGAATTTAGCATTTGATACTCAATAAGCAATTATGGGCATAAATCATGAATTTCATATAAAATAATCCATGAATCATCAAAGTTAGGTCTATCTCACTACTGAACAAAATAACCTTCAAAATTCATCATTAATAGTGGAATGAATTTCATCATATACAATAACTTCAGCAAAAAGCTACATGAAAGTGTCCAACAAAGAATTGGATGTAGAGTAATAAAGATGAGGTTAAAAGAGAGTAGAATTCAATCAATTAATAATAAACTTCAAAACTATGGTCAGATTAGACACATTAAAAACTACATTTATACCCAATTTTCTATAATTTATAATAAGCACTAGTTCCAACATATTGCACAATTTTAAATGGTTTCATTGCTAGCATTCAAATTTTTAAGGGTTCCAGATGAAAACTTTTCTAGATTTAAAAGCACAATGACCTTACCACCAGGATTAAATTTCATATTTCTCCTATCCACATTAGCAGAAAGCTTATAAATATCATAATTACTAGTCAATTTTCGATAAATATTTTCAAGCAAATGATTGTGCAAATTTGTTAAGCTAAATTCTATAAGTAGGATGACAACATCTATAAACCTTCTAAGTTGACAACACGTGGACATCTCAAATTGACTCATACTAGTAGTTCATTGTAGATGAATTGTATGCATCCTCAAGCATAACAACATAAAATCCCACCCAGATGCCATGTTTTACCAAAATTTGTAATTGATCTCCAATCTTCTATTATCACCCAAGTATAATCATCAATTTGTGGATGATAAATTGCTAAAAAAATTTAAACAGTTTCCTATTTTCTTCCAAAGCACATTCCAAAAAACGTAGTAATTTTGCATCACAAATAGAAATAATCATTCTAAATAAACCATAAAATTTAACCACTTCAATAAATTATATTTTAATGCAAGATCTATCTACAAGTTTATGACATGATATAAAATGTCTTTTTTGTTTAAATGACTTGCCAGAACAAAAATAAAATCATTCTTTCTCAATATTCATGAAACCCTAACATAAAATCTATACTAGATAATCTTAAGATTTTTATAGAATTGGTAAAGGAGTATTCAACCATGTGTTACGCTTCCTACCTTCAGCGTACTAGTAAGTCCGACACTGTAAAATAATGTGCCACATCTTTTTTCAAAGTTGGTCATAAATACATATCCTTAGTCATTGCAAAGGTCTTACCTCTTTAAAAATCGCTAGGAACACCCTAACATGTAATTTGGTCATAAATTTCCTTAATGATGAATCAAAAATACACATATGAGTACCTTAAATAATTAACAATCATTAATTGTGTTGCCTTTAGTAATAATAAATGAATCATAATTGAAGCCTTTATAAATATTGTCAAAATCCTGACAAATAACGTACTTCTCTTTTATATGATCAAATCATATCACTTTAACTTGCATTATATGTAAAATAACATAAAATCTACTCAAACATCAATAGATTTACTATCAAATCTAATACATGTTTAAGGATAAAAAAATACTCTTGCAAAAGCTCAGACCCACATTTATGTCTCCATTCCAACTTCATTTGA